TGATGGCTGAGTACTTGCCCATGATATGTTTGCATAGCTGATAAAGCAATGAATTAGTCCAAAGTAAATTAGTTTTAGACTTTGTTTATTGATATATGAGTTATTGATATATATTATTGATATATAAGTTTACCCAGCGCAATTAATATAGTGTGAACAAAAAATTAGATCACTGAAAAAAAATACACAAAAAACTTTTAAATCAATGGCGCAAACGCATTTTTTGAGGAATAACTTTCAAAATGTGTCAAAACATAGAAAATAATGCGTTTTACTAAAAAATGCAAAATGTAGCCATAATTCATTTTTTTTTTAAATAAATGCAAGTGTTTAAATCAAGGCGTTGTTCCAATTTCGGTAACTCTCCCCTATGTTCTTTTCTTAAAATCATGAAAATTCGAATCACTTGTGACTATTAACTACAAAAAAAAAAAATTTTTTTAAATCTAAACACATATAATAATTATTTTAATAACTATAATATATAATTTATAATAATTATATAACAAAAACAATAACATATATAATAATTATATAATAATTATAATATAAAAATATCTATCAAACAATTACCACAATCACTTTTAAACTAATAAATTGTAAATAAGCAGAAAAATATGTTCAGTTAAAAAATACTTTTTTATGGGATTCTGTGTATGTAACTTTAAATATAAACATAATGCTTAAAAAATATTTTATAAATATATTTTTGAATATGTTAAGTTAATTAACTTAAGTTATGTAAATAACTTTAAATAAAAACATAATCCATAAAAAATATCTTTTAAACATACTTTACACATGCATTACTTAATTAATGAAACATTACATACACTATATTTTGAGTATTTATACAAATCCATGTGCATAAACAAGGAAAAGTATAAGTAGCTATGTATTTCTTTGTACAAAGTCACGATATTTTTATTATAAACACTATTTGTAACAAGAGAAGTAACACATACTATTTCAGAAAGGTGAGGTTTTTACATTGTCTATTAAATGTAAAGATAAATAAAAACACTTATTGCAAGATGGAGAATCATGAAAGCTAAATTTCTATTTGAACAATTGGTGCACTGTTTGAGACGATTGCTATTTTTATAAAAATAGCATAATGTATTTAAACAACTTACAAACAAACTTAAGTTTGTAAAAAAATATTTTACAAACTTAAGTTTGTTTGTAAGTTGAGTTTGTAAAACTCAAGTTTTACACACATGAGTTTGTAAAATACCTTGAGAAAAAGTGGGTCAAAATATTTTACAAACTTAAGTTTGTTTGTAAGTTGCGTTTGTAAAACTCAAGTTTTACACACATGAGTTTGTAAAATACCTTGAGAAAAACTATTGCAAACATGAGTTATAATTTTATGATTGGTACAACTGTGTCACCATATCTAACCGTTACTGATTGGGTCATCATATCTAACAGTTACTGATTGTGGACCAAGATGATTCGCACTTATATGAAATAAAAAGCTAAAAATGTAGTTTTTCAAATGGATTCCGTATTTAGGGAGCACAATAGTTATTGATGAGTAATGTACCGGTGTTTATATTAAATGAGTTTACAAAAGATAAGTGAAAAATCCGATGTTGGATTTTTGATAGGTTTGTTGGGCAACGTTAATCAGCTAGATAAAACGTTGTAATAACGTTATTTATTAATGTGATATCTAGCTGATATAGCTGATATAAACATTGATTAAATAATATCAAAATAATTAATTGATTTTTGTTAGCGAGTTTCGTATGCAGTAGCTCATTAACTTTTCTTCATAAAAGCTCATTCGAATTCAAAACTCAATGTTTATGTTGTATTTCTTTAATTAAATATCACAATAGAGAAAGTTTTCTTTTAGTTAGCATTTCTGATAGTCCATGTGATTGAACCATATTACTTGCAGTCAGTACAATTTCAATAACCATTGAATTGTTATTGAGTTGGTGAATACTGATTTCTTCTTTATGGTTTACAACTTAACGACTAGATTTATCCTACAAAACGTCTAATTCAGTCCTAATAATATAGATGATTAACATTATTTTTCAACGTAACGTCGACATTTTAAAAATGTGTGGACAGGATTTGAGTCCGACAGAAGGCATGTTTTCTAATTGAAAATATTCCCAACTTATTTTACTAATAAACTTTTTTAAATCAATGCCAACAAATACTTTGAGGAACAGGAAACTATGCCCATTAAACAAAAATGTCTCATGATTTTCTGTTGTATACCTTTGCTCCTACTTATACAATATTTATATAAAAAATAAATAAAAACAAAGAACTTACTAGATTGTAACATATGAGTATTTGCACAATGACAACAACGTTTATTTTTTGAACTTTGTAGAATATCTAACCCTAATTGACACAGTAATGACTGAACATTTGTAGAATATCTAACCCTAAATAACACAGTAATGAAAGAAAATTTGTAGATGTCTAACCCTAATTGACACAGTAATGAACGAACATTTGCGCAAAGTTAAAATCAAGAAATTACGGTTTATTACCTTGGAAAAGATATTTAAAAAGAACTTTTGCAGATTCTAGCAGAACCTATAAAATAAAATTTTGTCTCTCATAAAACCCGCAAAAAATTACTTAATTATTTTTAATTCCATACTAAAAAACGTCATTTTGAACTGATGATTAGGAATATATGTTTTGTTGAATCAAACAGTTTGATAGTAAGATGTTTGAGCCTGTAGTAATAATAAAACAACATTTTTAAGGATTTGTTTTATTATACAAAACTTCTTGAGCATTACTAACAAAAACTTGGACTTCATTTTTTTAAAGTTCTTTTGAGTATCCTAAGTACAGAGTTTGATTTAAGAGTAGCTTTATTAACCTGTTCAGACCATTTGAGTTTCTTATTAACTAGGGTACCCAATGTTTTCTTAATAGATACCGCTTCAAGAGATATGCGTCTACAATTTGTGTCTTTCAGGGAAATGTAAAATTCTGCTTGATTAATATTAGAGAAAGAGGCACACTGAACTATTTAGTACATGTTTTGAGCACTCGAGAATAATTTCCGTCATTACCGCTGACTTTTAAAATGTTAAGTGCAGAGTTTTTCAATACTACAGCAACTAAACAAAGAGCTTAAAAATGAAAAACAAACATCTTCGAAAAATAGAGGACTGAGAGTAAGTTACAGGTGACATAAACCTTTTAAAAAACTGATTTTAGACAGTCTGCAAAAGACTTTAATAAAATAATTGTGCTCCATCGTGGTTAAACAGAGATCGAATGACACTTTTACAAGACTTTTGGCTATTTACATAAAAGTAGAGCTTTTTCAGGCAAGACTTGCAAGCATAGATGATTTCACTCTCAAATTTTAATTCTGCGTCCCAAGCTATTTTACTACACAATTTTGTTTGTTGTAAGACTTTAATATAGTCTTTAAATTTTATAAAAGCACAGCGTAACTTAATAAATAGTGTAAATTTTTCTTCAGTCGTTGCCTTAATAGAAGAATTAAACCATTTTAAACTACGCTTCTTTAAGCTAAAGGAACTTTGGAATGCGCAGTTCGATCAAAAAAATGTACGCGTTTTTAAATAATTTGAAGTTTCCATCTGCTGATTTTTTCAAGAATAAGTTTAGCCAGTCAATATTACTTAGACCCTTATTGATTGCATTATAGTCACTTTTGTTATAGATATAATTTACTTTGTGTAGTATGCAAGTTCTAGTTGATGATTTAAATCTGAAACCCTATAAGAGTGGATTTTGAAGATATTTTTTCTTAGTACATCCAAAAGGAGGACGAATTGTAACAACCTGGGTCATCTGTTAGCACTTGGTCAAGTATTATTGATAAAGGTTGGTTCGGTGACAAACTGCGATAAGAAATAATCACTGATATATAAGTATCTAAAAAAAGTTGACTAGACTGTTTACCACTTTTACATTGGCCACCCAGATCATTTCACCTAATATCACTATGATTAAAATCACCAACATTTAGAACACTTGTAAAGAGTTTTTGCGCATATGAATAATATATTGTAAATTATACTCATTTATCACTGTAACTATATAACTAATGTTAATAACTTTATCTTTTAATTTTGTTTATTGGAGACATATAAATATTATTTTTTGTAAATGTGTAGTAATGTTTCTTGTAAAAAAAAAATTATTATATACTCATACAATAATACTTACATACTATGTCAAAAGCACTTTTGACATATTATATAAGTATTTAAGTTTGCTTCATTAATGGTAAATTAATCTCAAGCTCCGAAAAATTGTGACATTGTTAGTTGGTAAGTTTTTATTTGTTAGAAGTAGGGCCACCGCGAGTAGGTGTTAAGTAAAAGGAGAAGATGGAAGGGTAGGTTTCTTTTGTGTTAGTTTTGTGGGGGAGGTGGGGAGAGAAGGTTTCCTTTGTGTTTTTGCCGACAAATCAAAGAAATGTTCCTTTAATTTTTCAATTTGCCAGCTATTAATTCCCAAATGATTCATTTTTTAGAGATCTTGGGTTCACACGCCCTTTCTTTCTTTTTGCGCCGACCTTGGCCAGAATGTTGGGAAAAAATATTTAAAAATTATGCAAATAACACTTAGAAATTATACATTATAATTGTAACTAATACATAAATAATTGACTTTGACAGCATATTTCATTATAGAAATTTTTTTACCAAAATGTTGCAGTATTGAAAATCTGGTTTTAAAAATCATAAGTTTGAAGAATTACGCTTTAAAATAAACGTTTACAATTGAGATTTTCTTAAGCATATTTTCTTACTACACTTATATCGGAATTCTCGATAAGTAATTAAGTAATATAAGTAATGAATATAGTGAATATAAGTAAATTAAAATTTTAAAATGAACGTAAGTAAATTAAAATTTTCTTAATTCACTTGTATCTGAATTCTCAAGAGTAATAAAAATTTTTCTAGCAATTTCATATGGTAAAACTAGTTATGTTTTGCTCGTGTTAATAAAATTAGTTTTTATTATAGAACTATCTTTAAATTCAATGTTTCGTGTCCAACCCTCTATGGAAAATTTCCATCCACGTAAAAAAGAACTTGATGAAATACATCGTTGTTTAGTCGAGAAACAAGATAAAAAAAAGCCTTTAGTATTATGTGGAATGTCTGGCGTTGGAAAGACACAAATAGCCAGAAAATATTGTGAAGAATATAGAAAGTTTTATGAAAACATTATATGGATAGATGCGGCATTTGGAAAATTAAGTACTTCAGTGGAAGCCCTTTATCAAAAACTAGATTTTGTTGTTGAAGATTCAAAAAAATTTACAAAAAACAATTCTTTTGATATTATTGCAGCTATTGAAAAAATACATAACTATTTTAAAAACGAAAACACTTTGTATATTTTTGACAACATTGACAATGAAAGTGTTAGAAACTTTAAAATTTACATTTCAACAAAACCGAAGTCTTTTACTTTGATCACCACTCTATGGAGAACATGGTCAAATAACGTAAATCTTATGTCATTAGATGTTTTTTCCCCTGAAGATGCTTTAGTTTATATGAAGAACAACATTAAAACAAATTCAGACGAAAAGTTAAGAGAATTAATAAAAGAGCTTGGTTTTCATCCTTTTGCCATCACTCAGGCAATAAAATATATAAACGCACACTCAATTGCAATTGAAAAATATTTATATCGATATAGATTGCATCCCGTACAAATACTAGATGATGATAAATTTCCAAACGAAGAAGAATCAATGTCTGCTGTGCGAACTATAAATTTAGTTTTAATGAAATTAGAAAATGATGAAAGCATTTCTTTAAAATTACTGAACTGTTTATCACATTGCGATGGTCAAAATATCAGCAAACATTTTATAGTTCAGATTTCGAAATATATTGGAATAAAAGATGAATACTTGGTTGATGACGCCATAAGATTACTGGTCAGTTATTCCTTACTAGATTATTTAGACGATGAAAAATATTCAATGCACGATCTAACACAGTTGTCATGTAAATATTTTCAAAGTAAGAATTCCAGTACAAAAACATTCCACAGTCTTATGGAAAATTATTTTAGATTCGAGTTAAAAGATATAGACAATCATGTTGATTACGGAAAAGACTTTGTTTTTCATTTTTTGAAAATGTTTCGAAAAAATAAAAAAAGTATGACGGAATCTTTTCACCGTTTATCAAGAATTATAAATAAATTCTTAACATGTAAAGGTTTATTTCAAGAAGTAATTGAAATACTAAAAGCTGTTCAAAGTTTTAATGCAGAAACTTATGGAGAAAATAATGAACTAACTCTTGAAACAAATCATAATATTGCAATCTGTTTGAGCAAAATGGGAAAATGTAACGAAGCTTTAGAAATTTATTATTCTGTTGATAAAATACAAACTGAAACTTTAGGTAACAACCATCCGTCAACAATTGGTACAAAAAATAATATCGCAACCTGCTTGAGCAAAATGGGAAAATATAACGAAGCTTTAGAAATTTATTATTCTGTTGATAAAATAAAAACTGAAACTTTAGGTATCAACCATCCGTCAACAATTGGTACAAAAAATAATATCGCAACCTGCTTGAGCAAAATGGGAAAATATAACGAAGCTTTAGAAATTTATTATTCTGTTGATAAAATAAAAACTGAAACTTTAGGTATCAACCATCCGTCAACAATGGATACAAAACATAATATCGCAAACTGTTTGCTGTATATGGGAAAATGTAACGAAGCTTTAGAAATTTATTATTCTGTTGATAAAATACAAACTGAAACTTTAGGTAACAACCATCCGTCAACAATTGGTACAAAAAATAATATCGCAACCTGCTTGAGCAAAATGGGAAAATATAACGAAGCTTTAGAAATTTATTATTCTGTTGATAAAATACAAACTGAAACTTTAGGTATCAACCATCCGTCAACAATGTCAACAAAAAATAATATCGCAACCTGCTTGAGCGATATGGGAAAATATAACGAAGATTTAGAAATTTATTATTCTGTTGATAAAATACAAACTGAAACTTTAGGTATCAACCATCCGTCAACAATGGATACAAAAAATAATATCGCAAACTGTTTGCTGTATATGGGAAAATGTAACGAAGCTTTAGAAATTTATTATTCTGTTGATAAAATACAAACTGAAACTTTAGGTATCAACCATCCGTCAACAATGGATACAAAAAATAATATCGCAAACTGTTTGCTGTATATGGGAAAATGTAACGAAGCTTTAGAAATTTTATATTCTGTTGATAAAATAAAAACTGAAACTTTAGGTATCAACCATCCGTCAACAATGGATACAAAAAATAATATCGCAAACTGTTTGCTGTATATGGGAAAATGTAACGAAGCTTTAGAAATTTATTATTCTGTTGATAAAATACAAACTGAAACTTTAGGTAACAACCATCCGTCAACAATTGGTACAAAAAATAATATCGCAACCTGCTTGAGCAAAATGGGAAAATATAACGAAGCTTTAGAAATTTATTATTCTGTTGATAAAATAAAAACTGAAACTTTAGGTATCAACCATCCGTCAACAATGTCAACAAAAAATAATATCGCAACCTGCTTGAGCGATATGGGAAAATATAACGAAGCTTTAGAAATTTATTATTCTGTTGATAAAATAAAAACTGAAACTTTAGGTATCAACCATCCGTCAACAATGGATACAAAAAATAATATCGCAAACTGTTTGCTGTATATGGGAAAATGTAACGAAGCTTTAGAAATTTATTATTCTGTTGATAAAATACAAACTGAAACTTTAGGTAACAACCATCCGTCAACAATTGGTACAAAAAATAATATCGCAACCTGCTTGAGCGATATGGGAAAATATAACGAAGCTTTAGAAATTTATTATTCTGTTGATAAAATACAAACTGAAACTTTAGGTAACAACCATCCGTCAACAATTGGTACAAAAAATAATATCGCAACCTGTTTGAGCAAAATGGGAAAATATAACGAAGCTTTAGAAATTTTATATTCTGTTGATAAAATAACAACTGAAACTTTAGGTATCAACCATCCGTTAACTATGTTAACAAAAAATAATATCGCAAACTGTTTGAGAGATATGGGAAAATATATCGAAGCTTTAGAAATTTATTATTCTGTTGATAAAATACAAACTGAAACTTTAGATATCAACCATCCGTCAATATTTATGACAAAACTCAATATTGCACTCTGTTTGATTAGTAGAAAGGAAGATGGAAGTTGTTTTTGACGTTGATTATTTTTTTTTTTAGTTTTGATTATATTTGAATATATTATTGACAGTTTATTTTTTACTAACAATTTAAATGAAATACTTCTTAGTTTATTAAGTATTATATAATGTTTTACACTAAATCTATTAATCTTAATTAGAAATAAATAATTAAAGGTAATAATCTTAATAGTCTTGCGTCACATCATGAAAATGAGATTTGATTTATTTTGAACTGGATTTTGTTATTTCTTGATAAACTATTGTTACTTATTCTATGACTGTTGAAATTATAATGCATAATTATATTCTTATTAAAAGAATTAAAAAGTTTATCCGAATTTATAAAGTAGTAATTAAATGAAGTAATAACTAAAATGAATGAAATTTTAATATTTCCCTTAGGTATAATTAAATGCTTATATCATAGAACATTACGACTTACATTGTTAACAGATCTCGTTTTGACATCTCATGTCGTGCCTTCTATATAAAATAATTTATATATAGAAAATAATTGAAAAACTGTTAAGATTTAAGGATTTAAAACTAACAGTTCCATAGACATATTTTAGGTTTGAAGCTGATATATTAAAATGCATTTCAAAATGATTTTGCTTATTGATTCACTCTACATATTTCTTTAAACATATACAAAATAAAAAGCAACCTAAATTTATGAGTTACAATCTAAAAACATAGAAAGTTCAAATTTTCAAATAATTTTTCTAATTGCTTATATTGCTTTATTTTTTAGCTAGATTTAAAAGAGTGTTTTTTTTTTGAAAAAACTATTAATATTAATGGTTCGAATATTCTTTGTCCTTCATAGTATTGTACAGTATTAGCCAATCAATTAGATTTTTAACAGAATTACAAAGAAACTGGAAACAAATAGTTTTTAACTTAAATAAAATTGTTGATAATGAATATCAAGCCAGTTATATTTAATAAAATGAATAAAAAAACCTTCGAAGCATTTTATCGAGAGACAATCAAATTAATTTCTTTCTGTATATTTAAAACTTCCAGTGTCAGCCCATAATTTGCGCCATGCGTCAAAATAAACACTTTTGGACCTGATAATAACAATTTAAAGAAAAGTCCTATAATTTCTTCAAGCATCCATATATAATACTGTTAATGTGAAATTGAATTCTTAAATATTTTGATCTGACATAAAATTTAAATAAAAAGCTTGCACAAAAAGGATCTTCTTGGAGAATCACTTAAAGTTTTAAACGGGAAGTTTCTCAATTTACCGAATATGGAGAGACCGTAAACAGGGTTGTCTAAAAACAAAAAAGGAATAACTTTAATCCTAAACAAGGTAAAAATGTATTTTCGATTAAAATACTGTTTTTTATTGGTTTTTTTTTTACTCAAGCACCTAGCTTATGGAACTTAATTATTCATTTGTTTAGCGTATGAATAATTTTTCATACGCTAAACAAATGAATAATTTTCACATACTTCACAAAACACAATAATTCATTATTTTTCAACTTTTTATTAACTAAAACAATAAAAAGAAGTATTAATATATCAATTATAATAACATTGTTCCAAATCATCACAATGGTATGCACCTGATTGACTTCTATAAGATTAATCTAGTTTTTAAAATCATTTTTCTTTGATAAAAATACTTATTTTTTCAAATTTTAGATTTTTTTTTTTTAAGTATCATTAACATCTGGTCTTGCTTTTATGTCTAACTTAAATAAAGTGCAAGTAAAGAAATTTTTAACAACAAATTTTACTTTGTTTTTACTGTGGTTAGTGCTTTATTTAAAGGAATCCCAAAATGTCTAAAACTTGTCCAAAATATGTTCCTGAATTAGTGGCGCCAATTAGCTAACTTTCAAACATGGAGCAAACTCCAAACATTTATGCTTATACTTATGTCAAATAAGGATGCTTTTTAAAAAATTTCAATGATCGGAGATTGGGAACAAAAAAGCCCTAAAATTTTGGCCTCCCCTGTCCCAAACGTGAAAGCAACAAGTTAATGAAATATTTTTTGTACTATTTTCAACTAGACTTACATTCATCAATAAATTTTAAGTTTCATAGTAAAACATTTTAGAGTTTAAAATTTATGGTCATATAAAGTTTAAATCCCCCTCAATTTGAGGGAGTTGCAGATTTTATATGGTCATTCTTTTTAAATGTAGAGAGATAATAATATGAAACTTAAAATCGCTTGACCTCAACCAAGAAAGATTGCAAGAATGGATAATTTTATTTTTTATTTAAAAGCACACTCAAAAGCAAGTCAAACGCAGTATATCAATAAAATATGGATTTCATTGGTTTTGAATAACCAATAGATTAGTTACCAACACAGCTTAGTTTTGAGATATAATGTGTTAATATCATTTCCTTAATGTTGAATATTTTAGCAGCTGCAACTGCACATGTTTTTTTCTTCTAAAACAGATCTTGCTGCTCTACTGAGCTGCTAACTTGTAAAAGCACCATTTGATTTCTTCAGGAAATTTCCAGTCTTGATGGGTCCTGATTCTAAAACACTTTTCACTGAGTTGTTCTTTGTGTATCGGCCTTTTTCTTTAAGATTTGTGTTTCAAAATTATAGAGTTGAGAGAGGGTAATATCGGCCTTAGGGAGGTGAATTAACATAAAAAAATATATATATCTGCGTTGTGCATTTGGTCAGTTAACTAAAAGTCCGCCGATCTATAAAAGGTGAATCTAGAAATATCAAGTGCTGTGTCTTTTCTCTCTGGTAGAAGATTAAATGGAATTACATGAAATAAAAATTAAATTTCAAGCCAACCTGCTGTTTCTGCAATTATTTCCTTACCATTCTTGAAGTTCATCCTGAGTTGTTTGCAGTTCTATACAAGTATTGGAATAAACTTAATCCAACTTAATAATCCAAGTTCTTCATCCTTTACTATGCTAAGGAATCGGTCTAGAACATGATGTTGACTACCAGCTGGTAGTTTAAAAGCATTCAAAACTGATCTGCGCACAAAAAAATATAACAGAAACATGTTTATTTAGTAGGAGATATAAACATTGACTTACTTAACCATGCTTTAAATGCTGAGACTTTTTTATCGATACTGTTCTCGAGTATATTCTCATCCTTAACAAAGCAACAAGAGTATAACTAAAATATCATCAATATTGCTAGACAACATAACAACTAAAAAATTTCATAACAGCCGTTATATAACGGCTATAATCAGGACTGACTTAATTGATTATTTTTCTATATTCCTTAATACTGAAAGCATAACTCTTAACAATACTACCTTTGAATCCACAGTATTTACCCAGCGGGCACAGACGTCAATCAAACGTCTTACGGACGTCTTAACTAAGTCGCGACGTCTCAGACCAAATTATGACGTCCTAATGACGTCCGGTAAAGACGTCTTTGATAGGACGTCTTTGTGACGTTAATATAAAGACGATATTAGGACTTCCATATTTAGACGTACTATTGACGTCGCTAAGACCTACATTAGACGTCCTAATTACCTTATAAAAAATTAATACTATCAACTTGGCGCATACAATATTATGCGCTAACTCGGTTAATTAAATGTCTACTTGTTTTGGTTGATTATTTTGAGATTATTAATTTTGTTTAGTTATTTATCGTTTAAAGATACTTTTTAATTTTCTATATTTTATACTCTATGATCTATAAACTATAATCGATACAATATTTAAATAAAAGAAAATTGAGTTTAGTTATCAAGTGTAACTAAGTTACAAGTATAATGAGGAAATTTTAACAAAAGACATCAAAATTGCACTAAGACTTTTCACTTTGTGTTTTATAGAATAGTAATGATATTTTGTGTGTCTGTGTTATATATAATATATATATATATATATGTATGTATATATATATATATATATATATATATATATATATATATATATATATATATATATATATATACATATATTTATATATATATATATATATATATATATATATATATATATATATATATATATATATATATATATGTATATATATATATATATATATATATATATATATATATATATATATATATAAATATATATATATATATATATATATATATATATATATATATATATATATATATATATATATATATATATATATATATATATATATGTATATGTATATATATGCAAAGATTTGTAATATCTTTGCTGTAGAAATAGGTAAATGAATAAATAAATTGTATATATTTTGTTGTTCCTGTGTTGTTTCATTCAATTTTATGATTTTTCCATCATGGGTTGTATAAATAATTATTAGAATTATTACTTATGTTGACACCTTGTTACTGTGTTGTTTCATTTAGTTTGATTTATACATTATATTATAATGTTTATATGATGCATACATAGTCATTATATATATATATATATATATATATATATATATATATATATATATATATATATATATATATATATATATATATATATATATATATATATATATATATATATATATATATATATATATATATATATATATATATATATATTTATATATATATATATATATATATATATTTTAATTATCTTCCCTTGCAACATTGTTGCAAGCAACCACTAATTAGTGTTGGAAGTTACTGGAAGAGAAAAGATGAAGATTGTAGAGCAAGATAACGATTGACAGACGACTTAAAATATTGCAAATTATATGATCAGGAAAGCAAGATGAAGGAAGCGAATTCCAAAGAACTGATGTCCGAGGAAAAAAACTAGACGAATAAGAGTTTTTGGAGCACTTAGGAACAGTAACAGAAAAAGGACAAGACCTAATTGAATGACGAGTAACGCGAGAATGAATTTTAGTAGATGGAACAAGAGACGCTAGCTCTTTAGAGCAGTGCCCATTATAGTATTTGTAGAAAAGAGAAAGAGAAGCAACATTACGACGATGTGACAGAGGTTGAAGGTTGGCTGCAAGAGCAGGTTCAACTATGTTTACAATGCATTTTTGCACCTTGTCTAAAAGAGAAATATATATATATATATATATATATATATATATATACATATATATATATATATATATATATATATATATATATATATATATATATATATATATATATATATACATAAGATATATATATATATATGTATATATATATATATATATATATATATATATATATATATATATATATATATATATATATATATATATATATATATATATATATATATATATATATATATATATATATATATATATATATAA